ATTTAATTATCGTTATCACAGCAGCTCTGGGCATCATGGCTCTGGCCTGCAATTCCAGCATGCAGGAGGCTGAGGCAGCAGGACCATGAGTTCAGAGCCCACTTGCTCTGAAGGGAAACTCTGTTTCAAAACCCAAATAAAAACATTCAAAAGAATATCATAGCTTGTTGTTAGACCATAGTATAGAAAAGCTTTATGAAAATTTCTCTCTTGCTTAAGTATCAGATGTGCACACACACAACATAGACATCAGAGGGCATAACAAAGGATTTTCTAAACTGCCGTTATATAATTGCTGATATCAGAAAGGCTTGGAAGAGATCCGCTGTGTAAGAGAAGAAAGGAATTCAGATAGAAAAGCCTGAAAAGGCTCCTTTTGCAGCATGATAGCATGGGGAACGTCTGGCTCCTCTGAGGTCAGCCTGGCAGTTATTGGTCTGTGCAGCTTAATGTTTTTGCAAACTGCTATCCAGAGGAAAGGCCGACTTTATCAGTAGACTTCTACTGCTGCAAAGTAGTTTGTACAGCTTAAAATAGTGTAAAATTTATGTATATGTTATAAATTTTATTGTTTTCAAGGGTGTTTTTATTTATTTTTGTTGTTGTTGTTTGTTTTCTTTGAGGGGAGGGGCTAAGACAGAGTCTGTCCACATAGCCCTGGCTCTCCTAGAACTCATAGAGATTTCCCTGCCTCTTCCTCCAGAGGGCTGGGATAGAAGTTGTGCACCACAATGCCCAGCTTTATTTGTAGCTTCTTTATGCTTGCCTTCTAGCCAGAATGGACAACTTTGAAGGATCCTGGGTGACTGAGCTCTGTGAAGTATAGACAGAAATTGAGGCTGAGGAGATCCTCTGACTCCAGAATCGATCAAACATATTTTTTTTTTTTGCTGAGCAAAGGAATGTGTTTCCATGATCCCAGCTACTTTGGAGGTTGAGGAGAAAGGAGTTTGATTTGGGTGCTCTTTTGTATTGAGGCAGTGTTTCAGGTAGCCTAAGCTGGTTTCAAAGTTACTATGTAACCAAAGACTGGTCTTGAACTCCTGATCGTCCTGCCTTCCTCTCCTAAATGCTGAGATTACAGGTGTGTACCACATCTGACTGACTCTGGGACCCTGAGTCCAGACTGGGTAGCACAATGAGACCCCTGCTTATAAATCAACAAATCCGGCTTAAAGTGTGACAGATACCAGCCGTGTGGAGTGTTTAATGGTTTTGACTTTTTAGACAGGGTCTCACTATTGTAGCCTTGGCTAGCGTAGAAACTTCAGTGTAAATCAGGCTGGCCTCAAACGCAGAAGTCTGCCTGCCTCATTCCCTGTAGTGTTAGGATCAAAGGCATTTGCCACCACCAGCATGGTTTTTACTTTTTTTTATAAGAGTGTTATGCATGGCATGATTGTTTCCTGAAAGTCGTTGGATTTCATATAATAAAATCATAAAAGTAATCTTCACAGTGTCAACGATATTTAAATACACTGTATATCATGTTTAATCTTCATGGTAACCCTGTAAAGTCGATATTTATATTAACCCAACTGACAGATAAGGAAACAGACACGGAATTTAGATCCCAGGCCACACAGAATCTGAATCCAGGAAGTCCTGACTCCAGAATCTGCTTTAAATGACTGTTTTAAACCATTGTAGATTCTCCTTAGTACCACCTTGTATTTCCCTCCTTCCCTCTCTCCCTCCTTCCTTCTGCATAGCAGACAAGCATTTTACCACTCACTGAGATCTACACCATTCTTTTCTTTCCTTTTCTTTTTTTTAGATTTATTTATTATGTATAGAGTGTTCTACCTGCATGTATGCCTGCTCGCTAGAAGAAAGCATCAGATCTCATTACAGATGGTTGTGAGCCATCATGTGGCTGCTGGGAACTGATTGCAGGACCTCTGGAAGAGCAGCCAGTGCTCTCAACCGCTGAGCCATCTCTCCAGCCCCCCTTTTATTTTCTTCAGCTGCATCCCAGGCTATGCTAAGCTCAGTAGTAGTTGTCTGGCCTTAGCCTGCCAAGCTCTGAGATTATGGTATACTGCCATTCCTGACTACCTTGGCAGACTTAATGACTATTGGACATACTTAGATTTGAGGTTAGATACTCGACTATCAGAAACATTAGGAACCTAAGAGCCTAAGATTGCTTATTCTTGGGTAGGAATGTGGGGAACTGGAAGTCACGATTTTCTTATACAAATTCACTATGAGAAACATCAGGACTGAACATAACCTGTTCAAAAATTAAGTATTTATAGAAAACGTTTTCAACAAGTGTATCAGTAAAATATTAGGTAATTCGTTCTCAAGTATTTGAGATTATTTGAATTAATTCATTGAGATAGGGTTTCTCTCTGTAGCTTAGGTTGGCCTCAAATTTGCTATTGTCCTCCTTCAGCCTTCTGAGTGACCTAATTTGAAATTAATTCCTTCTCCTATATAGAAGTCAGCCCAGTCCTGCAAGACTCTGTACTTTACCATAAACTGAGACTGACTTGTGACTCAGAAGAAAAAGTTAGGGTTTCTTTTGTAGCTCAGACTGGCCTCCGGCTCACCCTGCACCTTGGGCTGGCCTCCGCTGCCTCAGAGTGCTGGGATTTCGGCATGAACCATCACAACAGCTGAAATTTGTTTTTGTTTGGCAGGAATACCAAATTAGAAGAAGATGGAGTCAGTGGAATGATGTGTTACACTTCTAGGCTTTGGGGTTTAAATGCTATCTTCAGTGTAAAAATACCTTTTCTGTAATTATTAAAGCATAATATTCCACGCAAGGAAACTTGATTAAAAGACAAAATAGAGTGGCATTTCCCTTCAACATACTGTTGTGCACAACAATCTGGTTGCTGTTAGCATTGCTAAAGTCACCACATTTAAGCTTTTGATAGACTTAGAGAGTAGATTCATGCTCTTGAGTACCGAGATTACTGGAGAGAGACATCTGGCCTCGCTACTTATAATAAAAACGAGAGAATTGCAGCTTCATGGCATCCCACCAGTTAATGGGAAAGTGAAAATCATAAGTGCAAGCTCTGATTTAATAGTTGGGCAAAAATATATTAACCTTTTAATTTTACGGGGGGGGAAGAATGTCAGTTACTAATTGTAGTTTCTCTTCATATTCTCTGCTAGAGCTACACACACACACACACACACACACGCACACACACACACACACACACACCTGTATTAGAAGTAGATATTTATCATTTACTATGGTGGTGTGTGCATTTTGACAATAGCAGTCTCATGGTGACTTTTTCTCCCAGATTCTTTGGATTTGAAAAAAAGTTTTTTGATACTGATATTTCTTGGTAGATGAAAAAAATGTGAGCTAGCTCACTCAGCTCTGACTGTGGGAGGCCACGTGAGAGATTCCCAGCAGCAAGGTGCTGTGGGAGGTTTCAGACCTAGGAAGTCCTGGCTGTGCAGGAAGCAAGCCTGCAGAAGTGCTGAGTCATCAGAGCGTTGGCAAGCAGCGGCGGTTCCATTGCCACCAAGTTTTCAAGTCTCTTAGCATGTATGCCCATTTCCTTTTCCTTTTAGCTGCGCCCCCTTCAAGTTTCCCAACACGGAGGGTTTTTAAATACAGTATGCATTTGGATACTGTCTTAGCAATCCATCTTTTCAATATTATAGCAGAAATGGTGGCTGGAGTCCAGCTCAGTAGTGAAAGTCTTGCCTCGTAACTATATCCAAGGCTTGGAGTTTCAGTGTTCACCTAGAAGTGGGAACATGTTGAGACAAGATTGGAAACCCATATAAGAGATAAAAGATGAGTTGTCTATGTTATGGTTTTGGTCCCTTTAAGAGACAAAAAAATATTCTCATATTTATTCAAGATACATTGTAGGAGAAAGCATCACGTGCATATAAATGTAAATATGATTTAAACTTCGTTAGTTAAAAAATTGCAGCAAATAGCAACAAACTTTTTAAAAAATTAAAAGAAAATATATTTATAATAACAGGGAATGTTAAAAAGGGAGAATTCTTCCCCATGTTTTCAAAAATCTTTGTCAGTAAGTATATACTTAAAATGAGGAGAAATGTGTTTTTGATGTAGTTGTTACCTTGCTGCCTCTTGTAAGTAGTTCAGATTTCAGGTTGATCAGGGTTAGATTTACTCTGCGCTGAGCCTGTTGAAATCTGATCCTTTCTTCTAGAAACAGTGACCCTCAGAGTGAGATCTGCTTCACTTGTAATGAACACAGACAGTGAGCTTTTACAAATAGTGAATTATTAAATATTACTAAAAACTAGTTAAAATCATTCTCCAGTCACTTATGTTAAAATTCTGCTTTTCAATTTTATTATAGCCTTTTTACCATGTGAAATTTTATTATAGTGACTTCCTCACCTTTTCAGATTGATAGACCCTAGGAATTTTGAAAATGACCCAAATTGTTTGAAGACTTTAAGTGTAAACACCTCATATTTTAGTTCTGTATATCTTACAGCCAGGTAACTTGAGATTGAAATACCTACAGTAAATTCAGGGCTTTCCTATCTCTATAATCACTTTAACGTGGGATACCTAATGGCTATAATTATTTCTGTTGCCTTTTTACCTCTAATGGAGTAACTACATCTGCAGTTACGGCATTCTGTGCTGAAATACTGGTTTGCTAAATCCACAGGAAATAAAATGGTAGAGCCAGAGGAAAGGGAATAGTTAATCACGGAGGAGGAGGGACACAGCCCAGCACTTTGCCTAGAGGCCGCTGGGAAAGTGACGTCCTGTAGCATTTGCTGTTCTAGAAAGTACAGAGACACGTAGTGAAAATGGGAGGGTCTAGAAGGAGGCCGGCTCTGGTGTGGTGTATATTTATCTGTGAGTGAGCTGCTGGGGAAGGAATTAATAGAGACGCTGCCTGCTGCCTCCAGACAGCTGAGCCCAATCGCTGATTGCTTTAACTTTTAAGACACCCAGCTTGCTTTATTCTTTCGGAATCGTTGTATTGCTAAGACTGGGGACACTGTTTTCTTTTACAAAGGAAAATCTAAGTTCATTTCAAGGCATTCGAAATGGGGAAAGACTATTATTCAATTTTGGGAATTGAAAAAGGAGCTACAGATGAAGATATTAAAAAGGCTTACCGAAAACAAGCCCTCAAATTTCATCCGGACAAGAACAAATCCCCTCAAGCAGAGGAGAAATTTAAAGAGGTCGCAGAAGCTTATGAAGTATTGAGTGATCCTAAAAAGAGAGAGATATATGATCAGTTTGGAGAAGAAGGTAAGCTGCACATTTCTGTTCCTTGGCTCCGAATCTTACCTTTTTCCTGTCTCTCAGCTTTCTGATTATCATTAAATTAGATCGTCAGATATACCTAAAATAAAAAGAAAAATGACTGGTAATAACAAGATCTAATTCTTGATTATTTGAGTGAGCTATGAATGAAATGCTCATGTTTGTCTTTTGTTTTTTTTAAAAACAATATTGTATTATATATATTCTACTGCAGACTTAGAGTTTTAGCATCTTATATTTTAAAAGAAGCCTTAAATTCCTGTACTGAGGAATGAATTGTTTAAGAGTCTTATGCAACCTGTTTTGCTTTCTTAATAGATTTTTTTTGTTAAAATTAATAGAATCTTCAGTCATTTAAAATCTTAAGATTGGCAGTTCAGTTCTGTGACATTTATATTTTATTCATTAAAAAACAAGAAGTTTTTTGCCTTTGTAGAGCAATCTAGTGAGACCGAGCAAGACGGAGCCGTGTGTCTTAGACGCAGAAGGCACAGGCATTTAGCTTCTAGTTGTTTTTGGCAATCTGCCTAGAGAAGAAAGAATTTCCCTGATGTCATAAAATACCAGGACAAGTTTTTTAGCTTAATTGTAAACAGTAATTGTGTGCCAGGAGAACAAGATCTCTGAATTTTTTTAAAACCTAAAATGGCCACCTAGTTAGAGCACTGACTGATTTTCTTTTAGTTAACTATTCCTTTCAGAATTTCCCTGCTGTGTGAACAGGAAAGCGTGACAGACAGCTCCCTTTCCCTCAGTCATATTTTTTTCTTGCCTCTGAGAGCAGAAGTTAGCTCAGTGCACGGGAGACCTTGATAGTCTCCTTTTACCATTCCGGCCTTAGCTCAGGTCTGTCCAGCATCTCCATGAGCGGCACACAAAGTAGGACTTCGACACCGTCAGTCAGCAGCAGCACTGCTTTAATTCATAGGGTTTGGGCTTTCAAGTCTTAAATTTGGGACTAATGTTCTCTTTCATTACTTTTCCCCAAATGTCTTCCAAGTCACTGTGGCTATGGAAACAGCTTTGTTTCCCCTTTGTTTATAGCATTTAAACATCGGATTTCCCTAATCAGAAATAAATCCTTCAAACAGCCATGCAGTGGCCACTCACTTTGCGTTAAGCAAACTAAATTGGCAGTTCGGTGCAGTAGTAGGGAGGCTCTTTTTCTCGTGCTTTCTTTTCTTGGTCAGAGTACCAAGAATTAAGGTTTATTCTGCTGCCTTGGTAGTGGTACGGATCTACAGGGTCAGGTTCTTACAAAATGAGTAACTGAAAACAAGCAAGTAGTGGACAGTTCAGCCTCTCTGCTCAATATGGTCCCACTGATGCCATGATGGGAATGTCTCAGGAGCGGGCAGGACCTCCAGACATCACCAGGACCCTGGCCTCTCTGGAGAAGGTGGAGAGGTTCTGTGAGTTCCCATAAAAGCCCCTCGGTAAAGGCAGGTTATTTGGTTCCTTCCAAGCACATCTCTGTTGTGACTATGCCATGTAGGATTCAGGTTTTATTAAACATGTTTGTTGTTAGAGTTTTCAAGTCACTCAATGGTACACTTAGTTCTTTAAGGCCCCTTTTGGCAGTGCTTTTCTTGAGTGATCCCTCATTATGCTACTTTGGGGTGGTTTTTTTTTTTTTTTGTTTGTTTTTTGTTTTTTTTTTGATCATTACCAAAGTGACTTAAATTTTGAAAACCTACATCAGCATTGTCTGTATGCCCTGGGTCTTTTTTCATTCTTGGTGTTCCTAGCCCAGATGAGTGTTGTAAGCAAGGGAAGGAGTGGAGGCAGGACTCTCGTCTTACAGCATGCAGCACATTATTTGGGGATGCTATGTAGTTATAAGCTGTTTGTAAATACAGGGGAAGGGAAAATTGTTGAGCTTTTAGAGCTCCTCCCTCACAGAAAAATGGTTCATTTCTTTACTGTTCAGTAGACGAGCACACAGTAGTTTAAACCCTCTGGGGTGGGAGGGTAGCTCAGTGTCCTGGCACTTGTCAAGTGTGTGGGAGCCCCTGCTCTCAATCCTTAGCACCTCCCCACAAACATCTCCTGTAGGGACACTGTGTGAGGTCATGAAGGAGCTTTCTTTTTCTTATTGTCTATACTCATAGTCCTCGGTCTATAGCCCTCTACAGTAGTAAGATAATACTGAATTCTAAGAATGCAAAAATACTGACTTACTACCTAGAGCCTCCTCCCCGACCCATTATCATCTTAGAACTAGGAGAGCAGAAATAAGGAACTATGGGAAGTGTATGAGATAATCTGATTTGTCCATGCTGTGAAATTCTTTTAACATTTGAAATTTAGAATTTTTTTATTGAATAAAATAGCTCTATTTTAAAGTTACTATGGTCTGTAGTAGTTCTATTCCTAGGAATCTATGGGGGGGGGGACATTTGCTCACACAAAGACATGTGCCTGATTGTTCACAGCAGCCCTAGTGAGGGCCCTGCATGCATCACCTGGTTTAGTAAGTAAACAAACATATATATATATATATATATATATATATATATATATATATATATATCTCCAAATGGGGTGTTCTTAACAATTAAAAGTACCCACTTAATGAAATATATCACAGCTGGATGGACCTTGAAAAATATGCTGGGTGAAAGAACCCAGATATAAGAGACTATATATATTATGTAACTCAGTTTAGGGGAGATGTCTCGAGAAGACAGCTCTATAGAGATAGCTGGGCTAGATTGCTTGGGGCTGGAGGGAGAGGTAGGTGTCAGCTGTAAGAAGCAGAGAACGCTTCAGAATGGCGGCAGTGGTAAAACTGTGTAATTTCTTTACACTTGAACTGCATACTAGTTAGCTTTGTCATGTGGTCTGCATATTAAATAATAGATCAGGTCTCTCCACACCTGAAACATTTGAAAATAATCATGGAACTACAGAAATTTAAGAATGGATTCTGACATATTCTCTGCCCTAAAGTGTTAGGTTTGGCTAAGCAGACATGAGCCGAAGTTTGTGTTAAACACTTAAACTCTTTTTCTCTATTGGGACAGAGAGATGACTCACTGGGTAAAGGTGCTTGTTGGCCTGGGTTCAATCCCTGAGACCTATCCTGAAAGTTGTCCTCTGACCTCTGCATGCATCCCATGGCACACATGTGCCCACAGACCAACCGGCTGACCACAATAAATGCAATTTTAAGATGTAAAAAATAAAGAAGTAAAATTTCCCCTCAAAACACACCTTGGAGGGCTCTGGTGTTCTGACTCCCTTTCCTCCTCCTCTGCCTGTTGATTACTGCTTACTCAGTAATTTTCTTTGGCTGCTGGAAGTTCTTTTATGTCTTCAAACTTAAGTCTTTGGTATATTAGCCTTCATCTAGTCTACTGTTCTCTTTAATTCAGTTAGTCAGCTGCACCTCTTTGTTTTCAGTGTTCTGAAGATATGTAAGTTACTCAGTTCTTGTGAGCTGAACTGTTGAAAGGCTCTTGTTCTATAACTCTGAAGTCTTGCTACAAATCAAAAAGTTTATACATTCTGTCTCCTTGAAGTAAAGATTAGTAAACCCCATCATTTCTCCTTTGCAAATTCAATTCTTTAGTATTTCTTCTTTGCTTAATTTTTTGTCAGATAAGTAATAGAAGTCATTGCTATGAGCAGTGTCCCCAAAATGTATTTGTTTTGCATATTAAATTGGCTACTAGATCTCAGGCTCAGGCAGAAGTGGGATTAGAGTCCATTCCCTGACTAGATGGTCGTTTCAGAAAACGAGAAACTAGAAAGCATTTCAGCTCAGAGGGAATCCAGCTGGATGCTGACTGTTTTTATTGGAGTTGCAGTGTACAGGATTAAGGTCAACTATCTAGCCAACGATGTGCTTGTTGGAATCAAGTGTTTGGCAGTGCAGAAGACAGCAAGAACTTCATGCCATATTACAGCTGCATTTTGGTAGGATTTTTCTCATTATTAAAGTAGCTTCATTCTTTATCTGACCTACATAGTTGACCATTCTATGTCTAGAAAAAATCCCAAGGCTGAATTTTGTCAGCCGTGATGAGTAAGTCACTTAAGCTGTGTGTAAATTTTCTCACAGACTATAATACTGACTGAATTACCATTTTTGGGAGCAAGGGAAGAGGTTTTAGAGAAAAGCCAAACCTATGATGTAATACTGAAAATGTTATTCTTTTTTTTTTTTTTCTGTTATGTGCCCTAAGCATTTAGATTTCGCCTTTTAGAGAGCTAAGGGTAGGCAAGCTCATTCACCCAACTGTTAACTGTTACTTTGTGAGATCTCTGGGAGGAGGGACACAGTGATTGAGGTAACTTAGGTCCTCATTTAGTTGCCCTGTCCTGACTTTGAGTTCTACACTTACTCTTGTCATCTAAGGAAGTCTGTCATTAACGTTTTCACATTTGGATTTGCAATTGTACTAACAAAAATTATAAGAGGAAGACTGAATGAGCTGCACTTTAACCACGCCCACCCAGACTTGTCACTCCACTTCTACAAGGAAAACCCCAACTACTATTTGGATTTATCACTCATATTCCCTCTCTTCCCCCTAACTCTCTGTGTGTGTGTGTGTGTCTGTCTGTCTGTCTGCCTGTCTGTGTGCGTGTGCCCTTTAACAATACAGTAAGATATGAAAATTAAGTCTTTTTGGAACTTACGATGATTACATCTCATGTTGCATGTGTTATTTTCTTTTGCTTTGTCTTCAGGCTGATCCTCAGAACACCTTCTTTAGTTTCAATTTAGGAGGTCTTTAAGAATTGGTTGATTTTCTTCATTCAGTAGACTGGAGTGCCTGTCATTTTCAACCCCATGTGTATGAGCAATGCAAAAATTAGCAATATATTTTCCCTGCCCTTAAATCAATTTGGGATGTAAGAATCTCCCAGTTTAAACTAGTTTTTCATAGTTTTTTAATCTTCTTTTCCCTCCTTACTTTTTGGTTAGGAATTCTTCTAAGGCTTCTCCAGAAACTTCACTTCCAATGATAGAAATCTTTGCCAAGATTGGCCTCCTAAAACATCACTATGTTGTTTTGTGGGTTTTAGTTGAATCTTCTTTTGGGATGTGGTAGAAATGCTATGTAATCTTTGTCAGCTACATGTTACTTTGTTGGGCAAAAGGTCACAGTACTGCCGTCAAATAGAAATAACTAGCCCAAGTTACATGCTAGAAAGACCTGAGGCTCTTGATTTCAGTCCTGGGTTTAAATGCTTTGAGTCAGGATGCAATAAAGGTAGACCTAAGGAGTCTTGTTATCTTAGATGATAATAATCTAGTGTACACAAAAACATTTTCTATACTGTCCTCTTTATTAGAGTTTTTTTTTTCCCTTGCTCCCAAGAATTAGTTCTATTTAGTTCTTAAACAGTAAAAGATCTGGCTGGAGGCTGGAGAGATTGGTGAGCACTTAAGAGTCAAACTTATTCCCAGCACCCATGTCAGGAGGCTCACAACCCTCTCTAATTCTAACTGCAAGGGATCTGATGCCTCTGGCCTTCATGGGCACCTGCACTCATGTGTGCATATCCACATGCAGACACGCATGCCTACACATAGTTAGAAATAATAATAAAATCTTAAAAATCAGCAAAAAAATGAAATAGAGCTACTTAGTATGAATATTATATTACTTATCATTGATTGCATCAATTAGTTATAGTGGCATTTAAGGATTTAGATTATTTGTTGATTATTAAATTCCTCTTAATACACATCTTTAAAACTTTTAAATTTGTAATACTTCAGTATTTTGGAACAGTAGCTTTTGAGGTAAGGGATTCTCGGTTTCCTTTTATTTTTCATATTTATTATGAAACAAGGATTCAAGAAGAAATTGTTAAAGCTAAAAATTTGGAGGACTGATTTGAAAACTAAACCTCTAACTTAGGGTGGCTCCTCAGAAGCTGTGTAACTATTCCATTTAATTATAATGATGTTTCTGGCCGTAATGGTCACCTGTCTGGCGTTCCACCCTTTTCCTAATCACGCTTATCTCTTCACCAGGGTTGAAAGGAGGAGCAGGAGGTACTGATGGACAAGGAGGTACCTTCAGGTACACCTTTCATGGGGATCCTCATGCCACATTTGCAGCCTTTTTTGGAGGCTCCAACCCCTTTGAAATTTTCTTTGGAAGACGGATGGGTGGAGGTCGGGATTCTGAAGATATGGAGATAGACGGAGACCCCTTTAGTGCCTTTGGATTCAGCATGAATGGATATCCAAGAGACAGGAATTCTGTGGGACCCTCCCGTCTCAAGCAAGACCCTCCTGTTATTCATGAACTTAGAGTATCTCTTGAAGAAATATATAGTGGCTGCACCAAACGGATGAAGATCTCTCGAAAAAGATTAAACCCTGATGGAAGGAGTTACAGATCTGAGGACAAAATTCTCACCATCGAGATTAAAAAAGGGTGGAAAGAAGGCACCAAAATTACTTTTCCGAGGGAAGGTGACGAAACACCAAACAGTATCCCAGCAGACATTGTTTTTATTATTAAAGATAAAGAACATCCCAAGTTTAAAAGAGATGGATCAAATATAGTTTATACCGCTAAAATCAGTTTACGGGAGGTAAGTTAGTAAGACTGTGATTCTGCTGATAGCTTGTAGGGAACTCACCTACAGGAGCTGGCTTCCCTCAGTGCTCTGCATATTTCCCTCCTCTTTCCCTCCTCTGTTCCCCTAACAGTTCTCTAGGAAGTGCTACCACTGCAGCTCTTAGGGATGACATCACAGTTTCTAAATTTAGCTGCTGACTTTAACTATTTAAATGTCAGTTTTAGTGCAAGCTTGATTAACTACTCCATGGCCTGGGGTTGGGTTAGCTCTAGTCTGGTTTTAGGTTGTGGTCTGTGAGATCTGCATTTGGAAACCCCATCTCTTTAATCCATTTAGACCAGTGGTTCTCAACCTTCCTAATAGATTGCTGCAGTCCTTTAATCTAGTTCTTCATGTTGTGGTGACTCCCAACCATAAAGTTATTTTTCTTGATACTTTATAACAATAATTTTGGCACTGTTATGAATCATAAATTAAATACCTGTGTTTTGCAGTGGTCTTCAGAGACCCCTGTGAAAGGGCCTTCTGACCAGCCTCATAAAGGGCCCGCGATCCACAGGTTGAGAACCACTGGTTTATACAGTTCTGAAATGATTAGTTTGGAGTAAGATTTATATAACAAGTATTAAAGTATAATAAATATATAACATGATGTATAATACCACCACTTTACTGCAGCCTTGGAGTCCTTATGTGCACTGCTTCTCAGAGTCAGCTGTACCCCATGAAATGGGGTCATGTCCCTGTTTAAATTATTTATCCTTACCATGTGTTTCAATCTTAAAAGGCAGAAATGTGACTTCCACCCCCAAATATGTTTTCCTTTCCCTGAGTGTGCTGTCTTTCCTTTGTATAGTTTCTCTGTGACTCAGAGCTACACTCTGTGCTCACTGAGCCTGATGCAGTGCAGACCTTGTTTAGTTTAGGCCCTTGCTAGTCCCAGTCGATAAGGGATGATCCGTGTGTCCCTTCTGTCACGAGACCTCTACCATACCTCTCTGTTCATGCTCCACTCCGTTGACGTCACTAGCTCATTCCTATGTTTCTGAGTTCCTTGTGCATTTCTGGTGCTGAAGTCCTGGCTTGTGGTCCCTCGGTGGTTCAACAGGAACTGTAAAGCATCTAATAGACACTCAAGGCCTTCTAGAGAAGCAGGTCTTGCTTCTGCTCAGTTCTAAGTTCTTTCTTTTCTTCCATTCAAACTTCTGCACCTTGAATATTGCCGGCTTCAAACTGTTTGCTTCCTAAGGCACTGTGAAAGACATCTGTTGCTTCTCCTTTCTTTTCTTCTCCTTTCTATTCTGTCTCTGGTATCATCTGGTTATGCTTCTCTTGAATAGATTTTCTAGAACAGGGAAAAGATCTTATAACTGTTGTAATCCGTTTGGAAATTAAAATATCACCTTCATGGTATTATCCTTTACCACCCAGCAAGATCTTGTATTGTCCAGTTTGGAAGTTTATTAACTTCATTTTATTTGGTCCACTTTAGGCACTGTGTGGTTGCTCAATTAATGTGCCAACAATGGATGGAAGAAACATACCTATGTCAATCAGTGATATTGTGAAACCTGGGATGAGGAGAAGAATTATTGGATATGGGCTGCCGTTTCCAAAAAACCCCGACCAACGTGGTGACCTGTTAATAGAGTTTGATGTGTCCTTCCCAGATGTCATATCGTCATCATCCAAAGAGATCCTTAGGAAGCATCTCCCTGCCTCATAGAATGAGAAGAACCTTGCTACCCATATTTTGATAAGACACTGAAAATATAAAATGAATGGCAATGGACTGATGTGCATTCTCTGTAGAGCTGTGTAAACGCCTCTGAGGGTTCATTAAAGTGCATGGATAGAGACGGGTCAAATAGGCAAAGTGGATTTTTACAGCAGAGCTGAAGAAAAAAATCACTCACTGTATTGTATTTCATTTCTCCCAAATCAGAAACTTTTAGTATTTCATTTATAAGTAAAAGTTGGTTTTGTGGTCAGTCGATATACCTCTAGTAAAGTCCTAGATCGCCCGAGTACTTTACTGTGTGTGTCTTTAAATGATCAATGTGATAGACTTCCTTAGTAGAAATTAAAATTCTTACCTGTACATGTAATATGTGGGGGAGAATAAAAGACAAGGTCACGTGGAAGTGTGACCCAGGCCACCTTCAGAAATGCTCCTTTGGGCTGGTACCAGTAGACGAAAGTACTGACGCGTGCGGTTCTCCACTGTGACCTCACGCGCGTGTGCTGTCGCATTTCTTGAGTATGGTTGCAGTGCTCTTAGAGCCGCCTCTTCATGAAAGAAAAGAAAACAGTTTATCTCCTGTGGAAACCCCAATAACCCGAGTTACTGATATTTTAGCAACTGACCATTGTTAAATGGCCACCTGTACTTTTATGCAACTTTGACTATATATCTTGAACTGAATACAATAAGCTCATTTTGTTTATTAGTTTATGATAATTTGTTTAATAACATTTGTTTTTAGAGAAAATACTGCTACCTATCATTAACTTTCCATCTATAGTCTTCTATCCTCATAATATGCTATATGTACCTTACATAATCTCCCTAAGAACAGTGAGCTACCACTATGTGTTAAACCAAATATGGACAGACTAGACACTACTGCTGCTCATGGGTCCTGTTGCTTCTAGTCGTTATGCATATAAATATCTTACTTTTTCATGTATATAGATTGTGTTTCTTAGGTGTTTTAATTTTTTAAATATATTTACATTTAAAAATTATTCTGCCTTCTGTTTTATGTCTATCAAAAGTAATGTTATGAGATAGTTTTTTTGTAAAACAACGTTAGGAATGATACATATTCATACATATGTGTTTATGTATGAATATTCATTTATAAATATATATTAATGTTGGGCCCTATAAAATTAGTAGAATGTAAATTGATTTAGAAATTCTTTGTAAGTAATAATAAGCATATAGCTTGAGGTTTTATTGAAACAATTCTCGTAAGATAGCATTTATACTAATCCCCCTCCCTCCCTCTTCTTCTTTTTTTTTTTTTTTTTTTTTTTTTTGGTGTTGATGACTAGATTGGGAGCCTCCTGCACACAAAGTGCCTCTGACCTTAGAACTATGCCCCAGCTTCCTCATGCCCTTTTCTAGTGTATGTTAATGGATTTAGTACATTTATGTCTCTTTCCCATGAGAAGCCCATGTCACTCCCCGTTCTTCCCTTTTAGCTCTTGAAGCACCCATCTGCTTTTTGTGATAGATTTTTTTTTTGTCCTAAGTATGTCATATAAACAGAATCAATCAACATATGGCTCTTGTATGTGTTTTCTCTCACTTATCAGTGACTTCATCCCTTTCAGTGGCAGATCAAGTACACAGGTGGGATACCATTTTGTTTACCTCTTCGTAGGTGTTTTAGGCCTTTGGGTTATAGCTCTCAGTGGCTTGTATGAATAATGACTCTGTGAACATCTGTGAGCAAACTTGTGTGTGGGCAGAACTAACTACATCACTGCAGTTCGCACTTGAGAGTGGAATTGTTGGAAACAGCTACAATGTTAGTTGCAAATGGAAAATTAAAAAATGCCAGAGAGTTGAGGTAGTCACGGTATCTATGAACGTCATGGAAATTCTCTTACAAATAGAAAGAGCTAAAGTCTTGGAGTAATGGTTGTAGCTCACATTCAAAACCCATAGTATCTAACTCCTGGGTTGTTTGTTTGTGTTGGTTTGTTTTGTGTGTGTTTATTTTGTCTGTTTTGAGGTAGGGCCTCGCTGTGCAGCCCCTGCTGGTGTGGTATTCCTGTGTGGCTCAGTTGGTTATGGCAGTCTTTCTTCCTGCCTCCCAGGAGTGCTGGGACGACAGGACTGCGCTGTTCACACCACATCTGCCATGAACCAGCAGTTACTACAATCTTTCGGAGTAAACATTTTCCCCAAGGCAAATAAAGAGTTTATGAACACAGTTAGCTTTCAGTTAGAGCTTTTTTTAGTAGACAATTATTCTAGTAGTAAAATAATGTCCCTAGCTATTGGGGCTGGGGCTGTGGTTCAGTGGCAGCAGTAGAATAGATTACAAAGCTATATAAATTTAGAGGAAGCGTAATTCTTCACAATGTAATAAGTGCCCAATTTCTATTTGTTAAATGTTGAATTAATAGTAATAGTAAAGTGTTAAATTTTTCAGATTTAAGTTGTGAGGGTACTTTTGATTTTAAAAATGTTCATTTTAGGGGCTGGAAAGAGAGGACTGAGGTTAAGAGCACTTAATGCTCCTACAAGTGGACCCGGGTTTGGTTCTCAGCACCCACATGGTGGTTCAGAACCCTCTGGAACTCCAGTTCTGGGGACACCTCTTCTGGTCTCTGTGGCACTGGGCACTCAAGTGGTGCGCCAATATTCATGCAGGCAAAGCATACACTTTTTTTAATCTTTAAAAAATGTTTAATTTACTTGTCCTTGTATAGCTAAAATAATTTTACAGTGTAACAAATCCAGGAAAGCTTCTTATTAGAGATGCTTTGTTCTTTCTACAAAAAGAAAGCATGTATTTCATATGTTAAAAAAACATGAGGTAACAGGGTGGTCCAGATGGGGGAAGGACAGAGAAGAAGAGCAAAGAAAGAGATACCTTGATTGAGGGAGGCATTATGGGCTCGCAAGAAACCTGGCACTAGGGAAATCCCCAGGAATCCACAAGGCTGACTCCAATTAAGACCTAAGCAATAGTGGAGAAGGAACCTGAACTGGCCTTCCCCTGTAATCAGATTGATGCATATCTTAGTTGTCACCATAGAACCTTCAGCCAGCAACTGATGGAAACAGATGCAGAGACCCACAGCGAAGCACTGGACTGAGCTCCCACAGTCCAGTCAAAGAGAGGGAGGAGTGAGAATACGAGCAAAGAGATCAAGACCATGATGGGGATACCCACTGAAACAGCTGACCTGAGCTAGTGGGAGCTCACCAACTCCGGCCTGACAGTGGGAGAACCAGCATAGGACCAAACTAGGCCCTCTAAATGTGGGTGACAGTTGTATGGCTGGGGCAGTCTGTGGGGCCACTGGCAGTGGAACCAGGATTTATCCCTACTGCTTGAACTGGCTTTTTGGAGCTCATTCTCCCTTGGAGGGATACCTGGCTCAGCCTAACTACAGTGGGGTGGGCCTTGGACCTACCTCAAGTGACACGTCAGACTTTGCTGACTCCCCATGGGAAGCTTTACCCTCTCTGAGGACTGGATGGGGTGGGTGAGGTGAGGGGAAGGTGGAGGGAGTGGGAAGAGGACAGGGAGTGGAAACTGGGATAGGTATGTAAAATGAGAAAAGATTGTTTTTAGATAGATAGATAGATAGATAGATAGATAGATAGATAGATAGATAGATAAAAGAACACACATATCCAAGGATACTATGGTTTTTCAGTGCAAGTGTGTTGGTTAGCTCAGAACAGTCATCTGAGGATGTTTTAAGCAAGACACACACTCTTATTGCATCTCTTCCCTTCTGTGTGGTGCTTAGCACCTGTGGCCTTGAAATCATCAGGGCTTTGAAGTCCACATTAACTCATCACTCCATCACTCGGCCATTGTTGGTCTGTCTTGGAAGCAGGGATTGAAAAGCCTCCTCTTGTTTATTTTTAGGAAACTGTCATTGGGATGTTGTGATGGGTAAGATGGAATTAGTGTAAGTGATTGGACTCAGTAAATGGCCTTGAAGGGAATGCTGTTCTTCTCACGTTTCAGGAATGCTGTCCTCAGTCTCATGAAGTCAGAACGAACATGATTTTTACTCAATGATATATAAAGTAGTATGGCTATCTATCTTCACAAACAGGTGTGTGTGTGTGTGTGTGTGTGTGTGTGTAGGGTGGGGGAGCACATTTCCCTTTATGGAGAAATATAGAGAAAATGTAGTTTATACTTCAAATTGTTTAAAATATGAGGCTATAACTTTATAAATATATATATTTCAACATATTACATTTTTTTCTGGTATAAGACCTCAGTGTGTAGCTCTAGCTGGCCTGGAACTTAATATGTGGAATAGGCTGACCTCTGACTGACAGCAACCTGCTTGTCTCAGCTCCCATGTGCAGAGATTCAACGTGTGTGCTTCCATGCTGAGATAAGTTATTTTTGAGTGTGTGTGTGTGCACATATGTGGAGGCCAGAGATCAGTTGACCTGAGTGTTAGTCCTCATGATCTGTCCACCTTGTGTTTTCAGACAGGGTCTCTCATTAGCCTGGAGCTTGCCAAGTAGACTGAGCTGACCGCCATGCCCCGGGGATCCTGGTCTGTTACCCAGAGCCAGGGTTACAGGTTACACTATGCCATGCCGTATGAGTACTGGGAATCGAACTCAGATCATTGTTCTCACACGCAGTAATTTTACTGAATGAGCTATCCCTCAGACCTAAAATAGGTTATTTTTCTTAGTATATAATAATCCACAATTATGATGTACCCTTTATTAATTTAAAAAAATACACACCAATATTGTTTTCAAAATACTATAAGGTTGTATCTAACTTTATTCAACTATACAAATTAAGATCTTCAAAGGGTCTGTGAGATCCAGCAGGTGACAGCACTTCCTGCCGAGCCTTATGACCTCCGCTGACCTCTGGAGCTCACACAGAAGACCACAGACTCCTGAAAGTTGTCTTCTGACTTCTGCACTCACGCCGTGGCACCTACATGCCCCAACCCAGTAAATAAAACAGTGAACGATTCTGAAGGTGAAAGATGTTATGTTAAATGTCAGGGTAAATGGTGAGTAGGAGGAGGAGGTGGAAACCTCCTGCACATTTTATCCAGGAAAGTTTGCAGTGACACAGGCTGCCGTGTGACATGCCGGGACAGGAATTCCTCCAAAATGAAACGTGGCTGCTGAGCTGCTAGAATTCTGAGTGGAGTGGTTGCATTTATGAAGTCATTCTTGAGATAATGCTTTGTTTTGGAGACAGTCTGTGCCTGGAGGTGGTGCTGATCTAGCACTAAAGTGGTCGCCCTTGGTCTCAGAGCGAGCAAGGTTTCCAGGAGCGAGCCACCACCGACAGCTTTGAGATAGTTTTAAAAAGAGGAAACTAAAGGTTGGATAGGAAAAATGTAGCGGAGCAGGGCTGGTGAGAAGGCTAAGAGTTTGTCCGAGTGGTCGGGGGGTTTGCTCTCTGCTATGGGGAATGCTGGAGGCTGTGTTCTGTTGGACCCTAGGCCCACGGAGCCATAGCTACTGTCCGCATTTCATTATCAAAAACAGAAACGGGCTGGAGCTGTAGCAAGCCCTGAGGTCGCTCACCAGCACCCCTCCTGCATTCCCAGCACTCGGGAGTCTGAGGCAGAAGAACCAAGAGCTCAAGGCTGGGACTGGAGAGAAACTCAGCGGATAAAGTTTTGTAAAATTGATAGAGGGAATAAAACTAAAAAGTTAGTTTGTGTTTCAAATATCCTTTAACCTTTTACTGAAACCTTTTTCTTCTTTTTAATTTTTTTAAAAATTAAATTTGTTCTTTGACAACTTCATAAATGTATATATAATGCTTTCCGATTGGTCCCACCCGATGCCTCTCACCTCCCTCCTATCACTGCTAAGACTCCTCCTGCCTACAGATGGCTTTCCCACGGTCATGCCATGTTATGCTTCGTGAACCCCTGAATTTAACCAGGGCTGTCTGTGTGACCACGGATTTGGAGCTGCCAGTTAGAGCAGATGGGTTTAACAATGCGCACAACTGACAACAGTGGCTCCTGATCTCCCAGAATCTATTGGTAGCCCAAGGTCCGGCAGGTAGGCAACCCTCACCCAAGACTGACAATGAGCAAGGGCAGCCTTGGGCTTGCTCAGTACAGGTGACCCTGGTTGCTGAGTTCGTGACTGCAATGGCTGCATGGGGCCCAGATGGTGTTAACTACCCACCGGTCTTCCTGTTGTCTACCTCTTAAGTTCGTTTGCCTCCGTTCTGTTGGGTTCACGGAGCCTTAGGTGGCGTGGCCTAACTCTTCTGTTTAGGACAGAGCACACAGCTGTCAGTTATCCTCAGCACCTTGGACAGCCAAATACCTCCTGTTTGCCGTAAAGCAAGGCCTCTCTGAGCAAGGCGTTTGACTATGGATATAAACACATGCTCACACAGTAGTCTGCCAATTCAGCTAAACAAGCAGCAGTTCCCTCCCAGAGCCTGACTCCCTCAGCCATGTGTTTTCACTAGGTTTACAGTGCCAGACTGATTTTTTTTTTAAACTTACTTATTTGAAACAGGGTGTTACTCTATAGCTAGCCATGAACTTAGGATCTACCAGCCTCTG